CCCTCTCCGGTCGGGACGCCACAGGGTGAGGGGCGGCGGCGGCGGCAGCAGCAGCAGGTGACAGGGAGCGCCAAAGCGGGAGGCAGCCCGCCTTCGGAGACCCGAGCTCCGCTGAGGGGGAGAGAGAGAGGGGGTGGGAGGCGCGCCAGAGGGAGGAGGGCAGAGGAGCGCTCTCGGCGCGTCCCGACCGAAACTTGCCCGCCGCCTGTCCCGCCCAAGCGGCCGCGCGACGCGACCCCGGAGCCGGATGGGCGCGAGGGCAGGAAGTGACTGCGGCCGCGGCAGGCGTGGGGCAGCGAAGCACGCATGCGCCGCACCCGGCTTCTCCTCCTCTTCTCAAGCCCCCCCCCTCCGGACCCGCCTCTCGTGCCTTCTTCCTTCTCCTCTTCCTCCTCCTCCTCTTCCCTCGGAGCCAATCATACAGGTGCCTGCGGCGGCGGCGGCGGCGGCCGGAGACTTTTCTTCCCGCCGGTGGAGTGCAGAAAGTTGGGAGTGGGAAAGAGGAGAGGGGGTGTCTGGCAGGGCGGGGGCGGGGCGCTGCTCGCCTCGCTCCACGTGCGCCTCGACCAATCAGGGAGGCGGCCCCCGCGCGGGCAAAAAGGGCTCGCCTCTGCCTCCGCTAATGTCTCGCTGAGCTGCGCGAAGAAAAGTTGCCGCGCGCCGTGCTGGGCGGCTCAGGGCGCACAGGCGGAGGACGGGAGCGGAGCCGTGCTGAGCCCGCCGCCGCGGGCAGGAGGTACCCAACGAGCCCGACGTCCCGGCACACGAACGCTGGATTTGGGAAAGGCGCCGCCGCCACCACCACCCGACCCGGCGGAGCTCGGCTCGCGCTGGGCAGGAGAACCGGCGCGGGTGCCGTGCCGTGCCGTGCGCCCGGCCACCCCGATGGTTTGCGCCTTCGTCGGCGCCGGCGAAACAGAAAGTTCCTTCAGCCGAGCGGCGGGTCCTCGTGTTCCTCCTCCTCTTCGGGTCGTCCCTCGCCGGGAGGAACGGGCTGCCTCCCGAGGGCCGCCGGCGTCTCGTTGCTAAGACTCCCGCGGGGATCTTGCGGCGGCAGGTGCGGTCGAGGGCGCGTTGCTCCGCCGCTGCGGCCCCTTCTCTGCGCGGCTGCCACCCCGAGCGATCCTGAGGGATGACAGGACTTCGCTTTGATCTGCCCTGTGGGCAGCGGGCGCTCGCAGAAAAATGCACGGATCCGTTCCGCCAGGGTGTCCGCGGAGTACCGCTTATCCCGCGGGGCACTGCGCAAAAGCAGAAACAGTAGGGAGTACCTGTTGGGAATCTCAAGGCTTGAATTATGAAGAAACATTCGTGTGAGGGGAAGGGGAGATGGCTGCAAAGTTGAAGAGCGCTTTTGATGAAATGTGAAACTTGGACAGGGGAGAAAGAGTCCGGAGACTTGCCTTCCTTTGCCTTGCGTGGAACAAAACAGATTGTCTAAAATAAGTGAAATACATGCGATGGGGCTGAAATTGTATAATTTAGGCAAGGTATGAAATATTTTTTCTAATGCAGACATTGAAGTCTGAGGCATGTCCTATAGAGGTCACGCTGCCCTTTCCTGAACGCACATATTAGCCGAGATTTGGTTTCCATGCTTATATACTTCACTGCAGTTGAAGATTATGAATCCTTACCTGCTCAAATAAATGTGGAAGAAACCAGGCTGAACCTTTGGGAGGAAAGAACAGAAAATCAGGAAGATGTCATTTCCTTCCCTGTTGACTGAAAGGAGTTGATGGTTTTCTCATGGCACCCTAGGTGACTGTAGAGGGTAGAACTCTCTCTTCTGTGGAAGGGGAAGGCTGGACTGTTCACATCTCTGTTCCTAGCTGAGGATATACTTTTCATGTCCCAGGCTGATGGGGGTGCAGTACTTTTCTGAGGCTGAGAAAAAGGGAAATAAGGTTTCTTATTGTTTCTGCTGCCTTGTACTTCAACCCACCCTAAAGCCTTGGAGAAATGACATCTTTGCCTGATTCCACCCTAGAGGTGATGTATTCCAGAATCATTTTCACACTCCCTTCAGTGTAAATTCCTCTGGCCTGTTTGAGTACTTTTGTTTTAATGCAAAAGAAATTATTTTTAACATAGGCCTATGTCTGGGGATGTACATAAACCTTAATGCTGTGTCTGAAATCTAGCTGGTAAATGACTTTAAATAGAATTCTTAACAAAGATGACTGATGTGAGAGATGCTTTGTGCTAACATTTGAATACCTTACTGTACCAAATCTCCATTTCTTGGAATTCACACTAAATGAATACTAAAAGTCTTTTATTTTATTTTTACTCCTGCTTGTAAAGGAGAAAGGAAGTGTTTTTTATTTATTTGTTTGCTAAGGGCTAACAAAAAGCAGTTTAAATGGGATGTGCAAAACTTCTTTGGAATTCCCAGAGTTGTGTAGTGATGGACTAAGACTCTGGAGATTGGGTTTGAAACCCATTTGGTCATGTAAGCTCACTAGGGGTGTGGAACTGGTAAAACCACTCCTTAAATATCTCACTTACCATGAAAGACCTATTAGGGTTGCTATAAATCCATTTTGACATGATGACACAGAACAGACATGCACACAAAACCCCTTTGGGGTGTATTCTCTGTGCAGTACCAGAGAGGATGTGGAAAACTATCTTGTACTTAAACTATAATCAAAAGTAGGCTTGAGCAAAGAACTGCCACCACCAACATTATCAAGGATGTACCAGCTATAAGAAGAATAGTCTGAATAGCTATAAGAAGAAGAGTCTGGAGTTTATTTAATGCTTGCAAACCAGCCAAGATTCACAGCTTCTCTTTCCAGTCATGCTTACAATTTAAGGATTAAATTGTGTTAAAATCATTGTTCAGAGTTGTATGATTCTTTTCTGAACTGTTACTTCCACTGCACGTGGAAAAGGTTAGGATGAGTGTAAGATTTTAACCCTTTCCTATCGCAAAATGGTTCTGATGAAAGATTGCACACAAACACGCAGCCCAAGTGGCTATGTGCAAATAGCAGCCATCAAGAAGTAACTTAGTGAGACAACCACATGTAACTGTTTTTAAAATGTCACCATGATTTCAATCCTAATCCCCACAACTACTGTTTAAAGTTTTTTTGGTTTTGTTGTTCTAATCATGTAACACTAAAATAATGTTTTGTGTAATCTGAATTCTGACCCTAGGGATGCATTCTTGTCAGTAAGCGTTAATCACAGTGTGATTTATTTTAGAATGAACCTGTATAAAACTTTATTGGATTTCTTTTATTAAAAATCTATGTGCAGTCTCCCAAATTTATCGTTATCAAATTCCATTGAAAGCAATAGGCCTTGTGAAAGCACAATTAAACAGGTTCATCAACTCTAGTGGGACACATAATGCAATGCTACATTTGTTTGGTCAGACATACAGTAAGTGCCAGTAAGGTTAATAAGGTGTTTACTCTCTAGAAGGTATTCAGGATTGTAGCCTTAGTTGTTACAGACTTCACTTAGGTAGGTGTCATTATGCACAGCTTTTGTCATATGGAATTTTCATTATGTGTGCTGTATGCAGTGATTGTAAAAGGTAGTTTTTTGGACTGTTATCTCTCAGAATCCCTCAGCCATCATGGCCAGTACACACTGGTTTGGGGTACTTTGAGAGTTATAGTCCAAAAAGTGGCTTTGCCAAATTCATCTGGAAGTAATACAGTATTGAAATAATCAGGATCATGTCAGTTGCATCTGCTGACTGAGAACTATCCTTCTACTGAATTTCAAACTTTTTAAAAAGAAGGAATGGCTGCCCTTATCACTATAGGTATACTGTATATATTATAACTGAAATGTGAAAGCCTGAAACTACCAATATGGTAGTACAGCCATTTTAATCAGCCATTTATGCCCATTGGGAAACTATGTCTACTGCTACAGTGGTACAGCTCTTCATTGAATGCACACGATGTCACCAGACACTCCAAAGAGCGATGGATCTGGAAATGAAGAATACAAAGCAATCCATGTGTAAAAAAATTAAATACTATTGTAACACTTTCATACACAGTCAATGCTACTCATTGTTTACATATATCTGAGCAATTATTTGGCCAGTAAGAAATTTCTGGATGACAACCCATTTTTCTAAACTCTCAAAACATGATTTATTTGTTTACCTAACATATTTCCAACCAGTCTTTCCTCATTTTAAGGTATGCCTCATTTGAGAATTAGTTACATAAATGTTCAACTGAAAAGGTATAATTTTAAAATACCTATTATTTTTATTACAATAGGTTCCCCACATTGGTGGGAATTGGTTCCACACTCTATCATGGATGCCTAAAACCTCAGATACTGTAGTAGCAAATGCTATACAGTATATGACATACATGGGGGGGAGAGACAAAGGCCACATGGGGACACCCTGTATGTTGCAGATAGGGCTGCAGCAAACCATTGATAAGTGGTTACACTTAATACAGCAGAACAGGGGTTCTGCTGCATTACATTTGTATCTTACATTCCTTAACAAAATCAAAAAAGAAACAAGACTCAGTACAATAACTAGACTCCCACAAGATCCTCCATTCAGTCACAAAAAAACATAATAAAGAGGCATGCCATATGAAAATGCTTGAAGCAGAGGTGAAGAACTGTTGTCCAGCAGATATTTTGGACTTCCACTGCTAGAAGCCCCTGCCCGAATGGCTGATGATAATGCATTATGAGACTTGGAGGCTAAATTAGGAAATCAAAGAATCTTTACTCGTGGCCTAAAGATTAGGTGAGGGGCAATT